ATGAATATTATAGTAAGTAAACAATGATAGACTTTATTCTAATGTAATAAGCATCGTTGTTTGTGATAGTATACCTCTGAGGTCTGACTTATATTCCGCGTGTAATTTGTTGTGCCATTTTTCTTAGTGTGGGCGATAATAAAAACATAATAAAAACAGTTAGGATTTAAACATGATAGGGAGATCGCCGTATCATACTGTGATTCAACTCCAGAGCTTGCAGATGCACTATATCAGTTATCTCGCACTATACGGCAATTGCGGAATGACGCTATAATCACCGCATTATAGGGCAATTGAGCCTAGCATCTCCACTGTGATATATTTTTGTCTAGGCATTGCAAAACCAGTTTTCTTAAAGGACCGTTAACATTTTATCCTTACTTGATACTCCCTATTAAAAATTGCACATACTGCTAAATTATCAGATCTGATTGTTATCGCTTTATTGGCAAATTCCTTTTCCCAAACAAAGAATGCTAGCACAATGTGGTATAGAATTGTTATATTGAATTTTTCCAGCTAGTAGGTGATAAGCCTTGCACCCATTCATTCCTTAGAATAGCACCAAATCAAATAGTTTGGGATGGATCTGTTATAAGCTCATTGCCCTACCTAAATTGCAAATCTTCATCTTTGAAAAAAGACTTTCCATTAAAATTATCAATGAAAGTTTTACAAATTGACAAATCTAGTTTTGCTTCAGCAGTGAGGCGTATATGCCAGTGTAATTCCTGAACTCACATGGACAAACTAATGAGATGGCGAGGAAATGTGTTCCAAAAAGGTATGATGTATGGGCAAAATTGGAGGTAGCCGATATTAAATGCTCAGTATGTCCTGTTTTGTGCATTTATTGCAATTATGATATGCAGCAAAAATTTGTCTAGCTTTCAGTACCTTTTCTAGGAGCAAACATTTCTTTATGAAAACTGTCTATTTCTATTCAGACAAAACTTAGTTTGGGCCTTGAGTTTTTTCTAGGGCCAAATGTATACCTGTTTCATCACAAAGATATTGGAATTTTTGTAAACTGGCTACTGTTTCCAGGAAAGATCATTCCACAAACAAGAAATCATCAAGAATATGTAGCATGAGACTAATTCCCAATTTGTTGATCGCTATCCAATTTATAGCCGTGCTTAACATCTCAAACACTTTGCATGATATGTACAAGCCCATTGGAAGAGTAGTGGCATAATAATACATTCCTTCAAATTTAAAACCTAGCAAATGACGATCTTCTGGGTGTATTGGTATGATATCAAATGCTGATTTTATATCCGTTTAAACACAGACATTACACTTTCAACCACATGACTAACTTTATGGTCATGAACTGAGGCTAATTTTGGCATGATTCCCTTATTAATCGAAAAGCCTTTTGGGGCAGACACATGTTGGATTTTTCTAAACTTTCCTGGAACCTTTTTTGGAACCAAACAATTTTTTATTTTTTATTTATCATGTTTTATTTATACAATAATATATGTTAAAAGAAAATATCCAAAAAGGCGACTTTGTATAACATCGCTAGGTTAATTAAAAAAAATTTTATTACAAAAACAATCCATTTGGTGAAGCAAATTGGTGAATAAATTAAGCATAGAAGGTTTGATAATTGCTGCCAACACTCAGACACTTACACACTTCTGGAGAAAAGAGGCACTAGTTTCAAGAACAGTTATGTTTGTAGCGCAGTTAAATTTTGAGCTGCCAAAAAGGAAGATATTCAATTTCTCTTGTTGGGTCTTAAAATTCTTTTTATATTGGATTTCAAGGTTATTGTGCTGTGCTGTGGTCAGTATTTCCAATTGGAGGTGTTACATTTGAAGAGGATAAAAGATTTGGTTGATTAGTAATGAGTAGATCAATGCAGGATTGGCTTCTATTTGTGACACGAGTTATCTAGTACACTCTCAGGTGTCATTCAAATATTAACTCCATCGACTCCTACCTGGTTGAACCAACATAATACAAAATAGTGACAATAACTATTAGATTCTTTACAATATTGGTATAGAATTGTTTGGGGCTTTCGTGCAAGCACTCAGTGGTAGTTTGTTCCCAATTGCTTTTAACTGCCTTATACAAATTAATTACCATCAAGGTAATTTTTATTACGTAATCACAACCGTTGTTACATCATATTATGTAATATTATGTAATATAATTTATAAGTTATGATTTTATAATATATATATCTCGCACACAAAACTTATCTTTTCTGTGGTTTATATTCATCATATAAATAAACCCTATTGCTTCATTAGGAAATTTATGGGAGGAATATACCACACACTCTGTGCTATTTTTCATGCCTGTTATTGCTCTACCCACATGTCACTGGCAACCAATAGCATGCTTGTCTTTCCTAATCTCACACCATGCTAAGGGTCATACCCTCTGTTCCATATCTTTTTGCTACATACTGTTGGAACACAGTCACCGGACTTCCATTTCAGGTAATATGAGTATATTGGTTGAAAAATAAACATGCATATTAGAAACACAAAACACCAACCAAAGGAAGCCATACATATACTTCTCGTGTAGTGGCAGTTGTTATTCATTCTTTGATGAATAGATATGACCCAACACTAGGTACCATTTATTTCATATTTGTTAAATTCTTCAAACCTTTCCCGAATTCTTTTTCAGCTTTGTCACTCAGCGACAGTTTGTTCTTCATAAACTTTGCAAATGTGTAACCTCTGACAGATAAAGTCTTAATTAGAAGTTCTATTGTCAAGATACCAGAAGTCTTTCCTCCAAGGAGTTTGTTCCAAAACAAAATTACATACTGGTTATGTAGGACAATCTCTGTTAATTTGCACGATCCAAGACCTTGGACCAAGAACACGAGTGCTAAGATTATTATTATCACTCGCACAATTTTCTAAATGTCTCACCTAGAGGACAAAAATGTCACTAGCAGAGGTCTCTGTACATTGCTCTTCCTTTTGAAATGTACATACAGTGCATTTATCATTGTGATGTGTTTGGAAGTCAAACAAATCTGCATTTTGTGTTGAATATGATTGCCTATTTGCAGCTTTTTCTTGTTGTTTCCTTAAAGTGCACCTATGACTTGTGCAAAGGAAAGGAGGATGGACAAGTGGATTATTATCTGTTGTGTTGATGTTATATAACACTAATAGCTCCATTGAAAATGTTTCCTTCTTGGTTTCAGTGACTATTGTTTTAGCACAGACTTGACATAGACTCACTAATAATATATTGCGAAGTTTAATTTCAGAACCTTCAATATAACATAAGTGCATTGAGTAATTCTGTATAATTAATTTTGGAAAAATGAAGCATTTAATGTTTGAATTTAGAATACAAGCTATCAGAAGACAACATGCAAATTTTGATTTATTATTATACTATATTATTATTTTTAAAGCAACACTGGATACTGAAACACACCTGGATACTGATCTTCAGAGATCTATACTTGTTCCTACATAAAAGAATAAATATCTTAGTACTTGCTGTTAGAGGGAAAAAGAATATGAAAGATGTGGGATTAAAAATAGTTAGTATTGGCATACAATCTTGTGAACTGTATCACATTGTACTATTGTTATAAACATATTCCCACCCTTCCCCATTTCACCAGGAGTTATGAATTCAACTGACACATTAGAAATGCAAAACTTCAAGTCTTATTTCAACAATTTTAATATTACAATGTATTTTAACTGCTCAATATTATATCCTAACATATTTTGTATCAGTTTAATGGCACTTTAATAAGTAATTAGTAGATACAAATTCTTATGGAGCTGGATTGTGGCCCAGTACTTCATGACCTAGGCTGGGTGAAAAAAGTTATTTCAAATATTGAAAATGACAAGGCCATGACCATTTTCTATCACAATTTTAACATTACAATGTATTTTAACTGCTCAATATTTTATCCTAACATCTTCTGCATCAGATTAATGGCACTTGAATAAGTAATAAGTAGATAGAAATTCTTATGGGACTGGATTATGGCCCAGTAGTTCATGACCTAGGCTGGGTGAAAAAAAGTTATTTCAAATTATTATTAATATTTACATGTTCATGTAATTAATACAGTGATACATGTATATCATCGACGAAATCGATGTTAACTGAGATGTGCAAAGCAATTGTTATTTACATTGTAAGATGGCGCTGTTTATTCAGCCTTTAGTTATTATTTAATATATGATTTTAGATCGTTTTACCATCATGTTCTCTATAATTTGAGCAATGTCTATCATTTCGTCTTGTGAAACGTCTTTACCAGGGTAGGAAAATAAAATTCGCATCATTGTTTTACATATTTTAAGATATTCTGGTTTTATTTTACTGAGAATCCACCACACACTTGGCTTAAGAGGTCCTAGAGATGCATTATTAATGTCACATATATTTACACATAAGTCATGCCGTTTATACATGTTGCATATTGTGTTGAAGTCATTTCTTTGCTTCGTTCCGATAATGTTCTTTTCTTTTTCCATGCCAGTTTTGTGGGGAATTTTAATGTTCTTATCATTTCCATCACAATATCTACAAGATTATATTTAGTTACACAATCCCACATTCTAGATATGGGTGAGTCCCAGTTGTCTCCTTGGAAAAATAAGCTCGTTAGTCTCATCATTAAAAGTTGCTTATATATATTTGTCATTGGTAGTGTTAGGATCCCAAAGAACATGAACAGCTTATCGTAGTCTATTCTCGACTTAACTGTTGTTTATATCAAAGACAAACGTTGGTAGACATAGTTTATTTATTTTAATACAAGAATAAAATACGATACATTATTACATTTGGCTTTGGGGTACGGGTCACCGCTGATGAAGAGAATAAATTGGAACCGCGCGGTTCCAAGGAATGCATATTCGAAACTGCGTGGTATAAATTGAAAACCAATGCGTTCCAATCTATACGGCACATTTATATTTGGGCTAATTCCACCGCGGGCAAGTCGTTCGGTGACACGCTTGCTGAGGCGTTTGCTAGTGTGTACCCCCCGGGGGAGGGCAAGATAAGGTGGTGGTATGGGTGGCAGTTACTTCGGGGGCACCTCCGTGAAACTGGGGCATTGGATGTGTTGATGGTAATCCCAGTGGCGACGCCGCTGCTTCTTGTGCTCCAACTCTCTGATCCAAATTGCCCAACGCCTCCTGTATCTTCTCCATCCCGTGGCTGATGCCCTCAAGCATGGTCAAGGTGTGATTCTCCTCTTGAGGGACGGGGCCCTCTTCTCCATCCGAATGATAGTCCACGTTCGCATTGGCCTCAGCGTTGGCCTGTATGAGATATTCCTCGTAAACTGCCTTCCTTGCGTTTTTTGGGGGTAACTCGGCCCCGAGCTCCTCAAGCTTCCTTTTCATGTCCTTTATGGTTGACATTGTAATCCTATGCGCAAATGATTATGCGTATGATTATTTTTATATGATTAGACGTAAGTAAATATGAGCCTGAAAGTAAGCCTGTATCTCCACGTGGCAACTGAAGAATAAGTGAGGGGTAGGTTGACCAGCATCGACCAGCCAGTGACCCAGTAATTAATCACTGTAATTAATTAAAGATGGAACTCGCTTCTCGATATAAACCAGCTTTAATGTCTACCATTAAAACAAAATCAATCCGACTAGCATAATTGATGTTGGATTGCTAGCGGTGCTGGGAAAAAATTGGACCCTACATCCGATCTCTCGTTGGGTAACTTCCATCATTTCCAATTCCTGTGTATTGTTATTAATGATCTGATCACTGTATAACATGGTAGGTATTACAAAGCTGTTGAATAGTTTTATGGCTAGAAGGGGTGGTAATCCTCCCGATTTAAGTCCAAGTCTGAAGAGTGAAAACAACTTTCTCTTCCCTCTTGATATACCCTGTTTGACATGTTCAGTAAACTTATTGTTTGTAGACAATGGAATGCCTACATGTTTGGCAGTGGATTCATTATTTACGATATCATTTCCCAGTCTAAATTTAAGATTTCTTTTAGAGCCATATGTTAATGCCACACATTTTCCTGGATGAAGGTTGTACCTCCATTTATTACTATGCTTGAAGGATATGTCCAATAACGTATTCGTAGCGCCTGGAAAAAGTGCTATTAATGCTATGTCATCCGCATATGCAGGGCAACAAGTATTGATCCCCATGTACTGAATCATCTTGAAATGGTAAATTTTAAAAGACATGGTGTATCCTCTTTAACTTCATCAAGATAATCAACTAATTTGAAGTAAAAGTAATATATGTCCAAATTTGTGTTTAGAGATGTTTAATAATTAAGTTATCGTCAACACTTATTCTGCCTCATGATTTGATACTTTGTTGATCACTTCATCTATTTGAGTGTCTAGCTTAATCTTAAACTCATAATACTTGTTGCATTTGTGGTATATTTTTTTTAACTTAACTTATCACTGTTCATTTCTATCTTAGATATTTTCCCAGCTTCAGTACAGAATGTGATTATGTAAACAAAAGTCACTACATCTTGCATTTAGGGTTCATAAGCAACCCATTTTGCTTAACCCTTTAGCGCCCGGAACTTTTCTCGAAAAATCACGATTTCAGCAGCATTCGACATTATTATCAATTTTTAATGGCAAAATGGTATCCAAGACCCATAAAACCATATATTTTCTTTAAGGGCATTGTTCAACCTATATTCTGAGTAATAAATCTTGTATAAATATGTTGTCTGGGGAGATATTGGGGTATCTGAACACCATTATTGCCATTACACTGGGAGCCAGAACTGTAGATTTAGTTGTAGTGATATAGATATCCACTAGTGGTGCTAGTGGAGATCCCATTAACATTTAACTCAAATAGGCAATGTGTGCCTGATAGCCATGTATGCATTAGGTATTAAGTTACAACAGTCAATTTACTTATCCCCTTTTAATGGCCACTATACATTTCACAGCAATTTCTTGAATTTTTCATAGTAATAATGTTATATATTGTTAGTCGGTTAATTATTAGTCATTTTGTTTAAAATCATGCACGTTTGTAGACTTTTCAAATTAATTGTAATAATTTTATGGTGTTATCTTCTGTTTTTTAGATAATGTGATGTGTGTAAATGTATGCTGTTTGAATGCTAGCAAAGACATGTTACATGTCTTTGATGAATGGTAAAAAGTCTTAACTTACATATTACAGTTTCTTGACGACATTACGTTTCTCTCTCTTAACGATGGGATGGGCGCTGATTATTTCAGGCTGACATGCCATGAGAGTTGATGTAATCCTGTTGACTGGATTTTTTACCGAGCCCATTCTTTGATCTAGTTCATTAAAAATCTTGTGAATCGATTCGATACCCTGTTCTCCTTGCAGGCCCATGCCACAATTAAAACGAGCTATCCAGGGTACTATATGGTCTTTCAAGATATGTGCCTTGGGCCTGGGCAAAGGCATCGTTTATTTTTATGAACTTATTCTTGGCCTCAGTTGCTTGTTTCAGTATTCTTGTTTTAATTCCTAAAGATTGGCACATTTGAGAAGAAACTCGAACAACCTTATCTCCCAAATCCTCATACACTTCTCTTTTAAGATATTTGTGGCAATGGTTGCCAACCAGGCTTTTTCCGTGATATGCCGCTCTGTGAATACTATGTTTTTTGAGTATGCCATCCAACGAGGCAGCAACTGGCCCAGATTCCAGTTTAAGTTCTAATTTTTCCTTTATTCCCCACATTTGATCGTGAAGTTTCTGCTTTTGTGAAGTATTTGAAGTTTTTTTCCCATTTCTTTTTTAGTCCATATAGTTTTTTCCATCCTTTTATGTAAATTCCATAGACTGTATCACTTCCACTTTCCGCGTCCATATCTTCCTTTGCGATGCGCTTTGCAATAATAATACCCATTTTGTTACAAGAAGATATTAATGTACAGGATGTCCCGAAAGTATGGGGGCCCCCCTAGGCAGACATATTCCAACGTCCTCATAGCATGTATCATATATCATTTTAAAGCTTATCCAAAGTTACATTGATTTGCCAAGTATTATGGTTTAACTCCCAAAAGGGAAAAAGTTAGTCATTTTAAAAGTTAGTGTTTTGTCAAAATAAAGTTCAATTTTACACCACACTACTAGTGTATGAGACCCCCCTTGGCTATGTTAACAGCAGCAATTATTTTCAAATATGACCTTAAAAGCCCTTCAAAAAGGGATGTGGAATTTCATAACCCTCTTAAAACCTGTTAAGGCACTTTAGAAGAGTTTCCTTAGAGTTTCTACCCTCACCATTCTCTTTTTCCAACTCAATATCCATCCGACCCGAAAAGAATTGCTGCTGTTAAGATGGCCTGGGAGGACACATTGACTAGTGATTTGGTGTAAAATTGAACTTAATTTTGACCAAACACTAACTTTTGAAATGCCTGTAATTTTTTAACATTTGAGAGTTGAACCATGATACTTGGGGAATCAATGTAACTTTGGATAAGCTTTAAAATGATATATGACACATACTATGACAACACTGGTATATGTCTGCCTAGGGGGGACCCCATACTTTCGGGACACCCTGTATTATGGTGTTTGAGGACAAGTCCAAGTAAAAAATGTAGGTAAGGGGGGCAAATATGTGAGAGTTCTATATCAAATAGAGGCGAATGTATAACGTTTTTATAGTTCTTAGCATTTGCTTTTTTTTCCGTCTCCATCAATCAAAAATTCGTTGTATAATCCTTTCATTTCCTGGAGATTTCTCTCTGAGATATTCTTTCGATCCTTTCTAGGAATACCAAATTCTGAGTGGTTTATGTTGCACCATAGACATGGGAAGTGCCAGCAGGGCCAGACAATCCCATTGTTTTAGTGAGGAATTCATAGTCTCCACACAGAAACAGCCTTATCAATTTGTCTTTATATTTCATGGTTTTTAAGTGTTCAAATTCCGGTTTATATCAGTTCAATAATGCCTCCAGGTTTTCTCGGCTGTCGCTAGCACGGACCATAGCAAAAACAAGTGTGTTTGTTGTCGCATTTGGGTGATTTGTATTGAGTACTTGAAAGCTTACTTTCGTACTACCCCCTCCCTTATCACCTCCAATTTTGATCCAAATCTCATTTTGAGGTATAACAGGATGATCTTTTATCAGCAAATTGTATTGTTCCATTTTTTTAATGTGTTCCGTAATATGTGCTGGCAGATTCGTTATGTATGCCAATGGCAATTTTTTGTAAATTATACCTTTTCTGCTTGATGGTCCTGATAAATCCCTTTGCGCTAACAATTTTAATTTTGCCCTTATGTTTATTTTTCTGAGTAGTTTTTTCTTTTCTTCACATTGATTGTTGTAGCTATCCAGTTTGACATTGGCAATTTTTAGGTGTCGCATAATAACTTTTGTTTGTCCCCAAGTTAACCTTGCAGCTGCTTTCATTGTAAGAGCTTGTTTTGCGGAGATCTTCTTATGCTTTAATTTTGTAAGAGATGATATCATTCCACGATTTCTCTTCTTTCTATACTCCACCTTAAATTCATTTGACAACTGATGAACCATTGAATCATTTATTCCACCACTCAATTTTTCCCTGTATTTTTTCATTTTCCTTGATCTTTGCTTTTTCAATAGTGATTTTGCATTATTGCTTAGAATCTGGGGCCTGTCTACTTTCATAAACACAAGTGGCTGGAATGTAATAATTACAAGTGATAAGGACCTATTCATGAATCAATTAATTCTTAGATAACAAAGACTGTTGTTAATAGGCATTTGATCTCTCTTAATGATCATCAATTGAAGTGTACATTAAAAGGTCATTAAACACCATGTATGTGACTTTATCTAATGTATGATCTTATGATTTCTATTGACTCAGGGACTGCATTACAAAGATATAATCCATTCATTTGTGAATAACAGTTTGACATGCAAGTTAATAGTCGTGCTTGTGGTATTATTGTTTTCTTACCTTTCCTCCAGTTTTGCAGATGAGCTCCCCGTCATTTTGACCATGCTTCATTTTCCGACGTACTAGACTAGTTAATAGTTTTTCTTCCCATACAGATAAGGGGTCCTTGATTGTTTTTGAATCAATTATATCTTTGATTGTAGTCTCTCTACCACGACTGGGAGTCACTTGTGCCGAAACTGATGTTGTCGTCATTGTGCATCGCTTTTAGGGAGTACTGCATATGAATCTGCTTGAGAGGTCTAGATTAGTTTCATCAAAATTGAAGCTGGATCCAGTACTAGTATCAAGCATATCATTGTCTGTTACTGCTTTACTTTTCAGGCCCATTGGATTGCGAATTCTAACATATTCCTGACACAGCCGGCAATTTTCTTGTTTTTCTGATTGTACTTTCCATTTTGAATTTCTTTCTTTAATGAGTTCATTTAATTCCTTGTAATTGGTCTTTGATAATTTTTGAACTTATTG